CTACTTTTCTCTCTTTAAAATGACTCCTCCTAGAAGCTGAATGAGTGATGGCTAACAGAGAGGACAGAGAGGAAGAACTCTTCTCTCTGAAGAAAAGGTCAGTACCATTTAGTGCCTGTATGCCTGCAAATTTTGACAGGAGAAAGGGTGAGTTGAACAATAGGATTAGAACCCATCACTCCACCTTCCCTCCAAACCCCCACCAAAAAACACAAACAACAAAAAAGAAGACTGTGAAAGCACCATCACCTATATTTTTATTGTGTACTTCATAACAGTGCTCAAAGAGTTATCACGACTGCAGGCATTATGCCATGTGCTATGTCAGAGTAAGAGCAGACAGATCCTCCAAAGTGTTTATATTCCCATTCAAACAGAAAAGGTGGTGAAAAATATCTCACTATGCAAAAGGAAGGCATTACTAAAGAACCAACCTGAGATCACGCAAGACATGCAGAAATTGAACCTATATCTTGCAAGTCATTATATCAATTCCAAGTCCATCAGAAATACTGTGCGTTTTTGACAACCCTAATATAGATACAATAATTACATGAATCCAATTAGGGCCCGATTAACTTATCGGAACTTTAAAAAAATCTAATTAAAGTTCCCAACTCAGAAAAACATAAATGTGAAGTTAAATCAAGTAACAGGTACAGAGAGAATAGTCAACCCCTCTTCACGAATTTCATTAAGTTTAATTAATTGGCAGTCCAGTATCTCATAGATTACTTTTCTTCTCTTGCTGTACCGATGCATATAAATTCATGAAGTTCTCCTCAGCAGATGAAATTAAGTTGTCAAGGTCATAATCAACTTCAAAGGTAGGTCTCCTTCCAAAAATTACAAGAGCAAGAAATACAGCAAAGTGTGCAGTAAGTCCCCAAATCGTGAATGATGTTTTACGCTCATTGTCATCGTACGTGAAGCAATGCATCCGACTTCGGTGACCAGATGATGTTTTATAATGCAAGGCCGTGTATTTTAAGGGCTCAAGGAAGTATTCCAGTGGCACCACAAAGACATCGCTCACTTCATCTGGATTAGGAGTGGCCTGGAAGGTGTCCTCTATAAATCCCACAACTGGTGTTACCAAATTATTCATCTAAAAGAAAACAAACAAACAACCCAAACCACTAATTTTGTACAAAGTAAAGTTCTTCATTTCTCATACTCAGATGAGTATGAGAAACCTATGAAATATTCATATTTATAATGCATTTT